TGGAAAACAATACTGATAATAAGCTCTAAGTAACACCTACTGCATGCTTACCGGAAGACTGGCGGTGTTCAGACCCTATGTGTTCTAACACATTTGATTCCCACAACCACCTATGGGGTCTTTAGTTTTATTTTCTCTGTGTACAAATGAGGAAATGGAAGCCTAAGGAGCCAAGTAACTTGCCTTAATTTCATCAGGAATGAGTGATTGAGCTGGAATCTCAACCTGTGCAGTTGGACTTGGATGATCTTGCTCTTAACTCTGGATAAAAATTATATATATATATATGGTATTGGATATAAGGAGGTGTGGTAAAACCCACAAACAATCTTAATCAGTAGTGTGAGGCAAAAGCAAACCTAAGCCTTATGAATTTAAAAGATTAATGTGGAAGATTCAAAATTAAAATTCACTGATTTATTTCTTAGAAAAAAGTCTGTTCTTTAAGAATTCGAATGTGTTGTACAGATATCAATATTATTCCAAAACCTGAATATTTTCTTAAGACACATTTGGAGTGTGTCCTAAGAAATACCTTAACTTAGATAATTATTTTTCTTCTGAAAAAAATTATCTTAAAATGAGCTTGAGAAGCACATGCTCTAGTCTGTACTGGAGTAAAACTAATAAATAATACATGAGCAATATTGCTGGCAAACCCAAAGAGGATTTTTTTCAACTTGGGCATGAAGCTCAAGCTAAAAGAATGCACTTTCTTTTCTCTCGACGTCGTTTCTTTTTCAGCATTTTCCATGCTGAAAGATTGATTTTACCTTTCATGTATTCATCTTAGAAAAATTCTTCATCATTTTGTATGCCTTTCTCTTTCCTTTGCTCCTTCACTCACATTGATTCTATATCTTAAATATATCTCGAACATGATCCCTCCTTTCTATCTCAATGGCTTTGCCTGTGTTGGAGCTGCCATTTTTTTCCCCAAATGAATGCAGTTGTTTTCTAATTTGTCTCACTGCACTTAGTCCTCCTCCCAATCCGATCCATTTTTCTCACTACAATCAGAAAAATCTTTTCAAATTCCAAATTTCATCATTTTCCAACAGAAAGTCCAAAGTCTTCACACTGGCTTAACTGACTTTCACTCTGGCTCGTGCACACCTCTTCAGTCTCAGTTCCAGCTGTTCCTTTAGAGCTACTTTATACTCCAGCCATGCCAAATCCCTCAAACATGCCAAGTTGTTTTATGCCTACAAGCCTCTGTGCATTCTAGACTCTGAAATAACCTTTCTGAAAATTGCCAAATTCTTAACCAGGTATCACAATTTATGAAGTCTTTTTGTTTCTTTCTTTGGCACTACCGTGGTAGTACATAGCTCATTGTAAGATTTATCACATTGAATTTCAGCTATTTACTTGTATATCACTTCTCCTGGATGGTGCAGGGCTGAGGGCAGTGAGGAATGGCCATGATTACAGGTGCCGTTCTGCAGAGTTTGACCCCACAGAGCAGGATTTGCTTTATCGTTGGATATGTCTTATCATTCTAGCAAATTCCCTGAATACATTTTCTCAGGACTTTTTTCAAGCTACTAATTGACTTCGTTTAATGGTTAATGGTTTCACCTATTAAATATTTTAGAGCTACTTGTAGACTCCATATTATACAAAGCTAGAAAAATCTACATTCAGTAATTCTAAATTCTAATTTTGTGAAAATTTTCTTTGTTACCCAATATAAAGATGAATACTTGACTGTAAAGGAAAACTCTTTTTCTCTACTCTCAATACTTCTCATACCAAATGTGTGGAATTTTTCCCACACCAAAGCAATTCTGCAACACCAGTGGATGTCTCACAATTCAGTTCAATTCTGACACCATATACCTAGAGTTAACATCGGATCCCACAGGTTGAGGGCTCAGTTGCACATGACTGAGATAATAAGGCAATGAAACTCAAAGGCAGGACTTCGATGGCCAAGTATGCAAATAAGCCATTGGTTGTTTACCAAATAAGAAAGTCTCTATAAAATCTTAAATCTGATGTTTTATTCTTCTATTCTCACTGCCTGGCACTGTGCCTGACATATTATTAGTGTTCATTGAATGTCCAGAGATATAAATAGCAAATGGAAATGGTGCAATTTATTAGAAAACTTCCTTTGGTCCTAATACTTTCAAGAGATCTCTAAACATAATTTTTTTTCTTGTGTATTCCAAGTTATAAACCTGATTTAGGAACCAGCAAGGAGTAAAATGAGACAGTATTTAATGAAATGATTCTGTAGAGTCTATCAGGATAGGGTTGCCCTTACATAATACATTAGAATGTTTCTCCTGTCTAACTACCTGTACTTCAGGTTCCAACCCAAATGGATATGGGTCTGTAAAGATAGTGACTCTGTAGTGGTTTTATACAAGACTGTTTTCTACCCAGACTCATTGAAAACCTTTCTGCTTATCAAGACAACCAGTGCTATAAGAATTGAGCAGCCTTAATCTGGTCTTTCTATAATGTTTAATAGGTCGCTTATATTTTTCTACTTCTCTGTTGAGTTTGCCAATTTTAGCATAAACCCAGGCTTCACATTTTCCATGACCTAAATTTTCCTTTATTCCTTTTATTTTTCTAGATGCAAAAATCTCTGTTGAGCATCTTTTTACATTAAACCCATATATAATACAAAAAAATATTTTTCCAGCAAATGAAAAATATATAAATGGTTTCACAGAATCAAGCATTGTTTAGCTGGGTCACAAGAGAGAGCCCTGTGGAATAAGCCATGATGCCATAACATCAATTAATCAATAGAGTTTTTGCTAGCTCTCTCTCGGTCTCCCCCTCCCTGCCCCTCCCTTCTCTCCCTCACCTCTCCCTTTTTCCTTCCCTTCCTCCCCACTTTTCCACTCCCCTCGCCTTTCCTCTTCTCTCTCCTCTCATAAAGTAAACACACTGCTGTCTTGCTTTGTGTTCATACCAGGCTACCATATTTATTCTGCTTCTTTTCAGAAACTCCACTTACTGTATGAAAGTATCCATCTCACTGACTGTTGGTGAAAATGACACTGGACTCTGCTACAATTCCAAGATGAAGTACTTTGATAAAGCTGAACTTAGCAAAAGCAAGGAAATTTCCTGCCGTGACATAGAAGATTTTTTATTACCAACCAGAGAACCTGAAATCCTATGGTATAAGGTATGGACTGTGAATGATTTTATTGCATATGCATAGATTAATGTGTATCTTATTCTTGGACAAGTTGGATAAAAAATTGTAAGGAGTGTGATACAGTTCAGCTCTGCCTTCCTAAGTACTGCAGCAGGTTGTGCTGGTTATTTTGAGTTTTCAAACCGGTGGCATTGACAAATGCTAGTTAATATTTGTATTGTGTTTATATTTACATCTAGTTTATACCTAAAATGCTTTCAAGTTTGTTATAATCTGCAAGGATAATTTCAGGAATTAAAACTAAAATTCATTTCAGAGCTCTTCAAGTAAGCAGTTCAAAATATTCCTAAACAAGGAGAGAAAGGATTGATTTGCTTATGTGATAAAATGTTACATTAGTTTTATTTAAATGTTCTGTTTAATGGAAGTATCTTTGTGCATATTCTAATTCTTTCCATGTAAAAACATACATGTTTAAAAAAATAACATCAGATAAAAATTTATAACATTATAAAAATAGCATTAGATTAACTTTACTTCAAAAACCAAAAGAAACTTTAAACTTAAGCAGAATAATCTAATATACGCTTTCTATCATGTCATTAGCTTTCACTGATTTTCAAGATTTTAACATACTCTTCAGCTTATTTATATCATAAAAGATATTTTCATTACTGAGCATACTCAAGAAAATACAATATATATGCCATGAACATTTGGAATATTTTATCTTCGATTTAAAGATTTCTAGTGTAAAATGTGCTTTGTCCAGCTTACTGGAAGTAAGAATTTAGGAAGCTGAACCTCTTAATTTCTAGATTCACTGTCAGTATACAAACTGTGAGTCCTTGTGATTGATTGCTCATGAATTAAAAACTTGTTAGAAATGAAACGAGACAAATCTTGAATAATTTTTTAAAATGTTTTTTAATTTTTAAATTACAGTTGGCATATAATAGTTTCAGATGTATAACATAGTGATTCGATATTTATATAATTTATGAAGTAATCACCCCAATAAATCTAGTACCCATCTGACACCATACATAGTTATTACAATATTATCGACTATATTCCTTATGCTGTACTTTACATCCCCATGACTATTTTGCAACTACCAGTTTGTGCTTCTTAATCCTTTCCTCTTTTTTACCCCTTCAACCCCATCTGGCAGCCATCAAAATGTTCTCTGTATCTATGAGTTTGTTTCTGTTTTATTTGTTTATTTTCTTCTTTAGATTCCGCATGTAAGTGAAATCATGTGGCATTTTCTTTCTCTGTCTAACATACTCCACTCAGCACAATACCCTCAAGGTCCATCTGTGTTGTTGCAGATGGCCAAATTTCATCTTTTTTTTTTTCTGACTCAGTAATATTCCATAAATCTTGAACAATTTTTAAAGGATTTTCCCAAAATTAGCTATGCCCTTCTCTGAGTAAGACTTAAGTTTGATTTTTGATAATAAGCATGGAGGATTCAGAACAGTAGGGGAACTGTTGAAATATTTTCTACTTTTCCTTTGAATTTCTCTTAGAAAATGTTAAACAGCCTTCAAATATTAGCCCTACCAATTTCTGTTCCAGTGTAGATAGTTTTATTTTTTCTCTTTTTAAGTTGTGTATTTCTTATTCTGATTCTGTGTGGTTTGCCTGCTTTCCACACACAGATTCTGAACAAGTCCTGATGATTGCTTCAAAGGGGAAAAGTATTTTTGAAGTTTGACCCAAGTTATCCATGAACATTTTTCTAGTACTCATACGTGTACATTCAGCTTCCAGATATGCGACTTCTTTGTTGTTTGCTAATAAGTTAATCTTAAGCATCATGTGCCTTTTCTTTTCTCAAACAGTATCTCAGAATTTGCTGAAACCTTAGAAACTATACATGTGTGTGCACGCACACAAACACACACACACAAACACACACACAAACGTGTGTGCACGCACACAAACATACACACACACACACACACACACACACACTCTCACTCAATTTTTTAAATGGCTGGCCTCACATTAATCCTTTGGTCATGTTTCCAACATCACCCCAATCACTGAGTCCTTAAGCTATAAAGACAATAACTCATGGAGTGATGGGTGGAGATGCAGTATATGTAGAATTTAAATGTCTTGTGACAATTCAGATTATTTTTCCATTGTCAAGGAAATATATATTTCATACATTCACTGTGCAATTTATGTGATTATCACAGTTCCTGCAACTAATAATGAAAATGTAAAATATATATATTTTGGTCTGAAATAATTGAATAATTGTCCCTCAATTATACAAAGACTTTGAACCACATATCCAAAATAATGGCCTGTAACAATTTGATTTGGCGATTACACTTTTTTTAGAAATAATATTACCTCTGAATAGTGTCAAAGGGTTTATAGCTATTTTATCCTCATTCCATTGATTTAAAGTCTGGCTATTATTTGTTTTTGAGGAACCTCCATACAGAGGGAAAGGAAGAATGAGAGAGGTAGATGACCGTAAAGGGGGTCAATTATATGGTGACAGAAGGGTATTTGACTTTGGGTAGTGAATGTACAATGCAATATACATACAACATATTATTGAATTGTACACTTGAAATCTATATAATTTTATTAATCAATGTCACCCCAATAGATTTAATGAAGTAAAATAAAATAAAAAAGAAGCCCAGGAAGTTTCAAGAATATAGGAGTGATAAACAGACCGAAATATTAAAACAAGGTCAAAGTGAATAAGAATTTAGAAAAGACCAATGGAGTTTGTTAACAAAGAGATCACTATCAATGATCTTAGAGAGAGGAATTTCAAAAGATTAAAGAGATGATTTATGCTATATTTTATTATATTTACCACTATCTTCTCTGTAATAATGCTAGTTGAACATGAAAAAAAATCTGGCTAGAAGAAATAGACTTCTGTTTGGGCAAAAACAGAAATCTCCTGTGCTAACGTCATTATAATCCAAAGCTTAATTCAGAGACCATAATTCGGTACACTCATCCACAATGAAAATAGATATTTATGGAATGATAGAATCTTTCATTTAAATATTAGCCATTTCTTTTATGGATTATAGAATGCACTTGCTATAAAGAGATTGAACTATTTCTAAATGAAACATTAAAATATTTAAAATATTAAAATATAAGCATCATCCTCTATAGAATTACTTTTTCTGCTTCCTGTGTATTCATTTAGTTTTTTATGTTCTAGTATCAAGATGTTTAATTTCATAATCATCAAATGTGGAGTATTTGCTTCTAAAAACTGATACCAAGAATGATCTTAACAAATATTCCTTTTCTTATATATAATAAATTTTACATATCTGATTTAGAGACAATAATCTGAGAAGTTAACAAAGTAATTTTTGCTTAAAATACTCTTTAAATTGAGGTACCTGATTTTCCAAAGATGTGGAAAAGGCATGAAAGTCTTTAGCAGTAATTCCAAACTATTTAGCCCTTCAAAATATAACTTAAGAAGCTTTTAGTTTAGTTATTTTGAATATTTTCCAGTTCTATATAAATAATATATAAATATAAATACTATATATTACATATAAAAATACATAAATACTATATACACTACAAAAGTTTTATATTCTTCGTGTAGGAATGTAGGACAAAAACATGGAGGCCAAGTATTGTATTCAAAAGAGATACCCTGCTTATAAGAGAAGTCAGAGAAGATGACATTGGAAATTACACATGTGAATTAAAATATGGAGGCTTTGTTGTGAGAAGAACTACTGAATTAACTGTTACGGGTAAGCACAGTCTTCAATATTTCATTTGCAAGTAATGAAACTACCATTTTAAGTTTAGTTTTTGTACTGCATGTTGATTTTTTCAAATCTATGCAATGAAAGACATACTTAACCAAATGCTAAGTGGATTCCTATAGGTGAAATGTATTCCTCTTTGCTTTTAAGTAATCTTATGCTTAAATGCATTTGCAAGGTTTAAGAAAATATGCTTAGAGAATTATAGAAATGTTAGCTTTTAAAAGTATTCAAAATAATGAGTTTACAATTTCAGAAAATTATGCCTTTATTTTTACTGGTATCATTTTCAGAAACATTTTCTGGAGGGTTAAAATGGAATACATGAACTCCGTCTTCCTGTCTTGCTCCAAATTAGAAAAATTATTTTTTTATTCATTTATCATTCTATAAATCTGATATATGTGTTCTCATGAACTTGAAAATAACATAATTTCAGGTGCAATAATTGAATAATTATGTGAGATGCAGTTCATGGAGCTTTTCCCATATCTGGTTGATAAGGTAAAAGGGCATGAGAACAAGATTCATAACACTGTGTATAATCAATGAATCTGCAACTTACTAGTCACATGACCTTGTTTGAATCACCATAACCTTCAGAATGTTAGTTTCTTCATGTCAAAAGATGATGACAATATTTGCCTTGCTTACTTCATAGGGTTTTTGCAAGGATCAAATGAGGTAAGGTAATATGTATGAAATGATTTTGCAAAATACAGAATTATATCCAAATGTGCATCATTTTTGTTATTTTTATGTCATGTGAAATATTGTGCTCATACCCTTTTTAAATTTATAGTGTACTTCTCTAAAAGTGCTTCCAAGGAAATAAGGGGGAGAAACAAGAGCAGTATTAGGAAGTTAAAAATATTTCTCACCTTATTGAGAGAGATTCTTCTTGGTGACATTTTTGTACAATCGCATTTATAAAACATATATTAAAAAGTATAAAAAGGGTATCAAATACTTTAAACAGATTTTTACTTGTTCATTGATTCATATAAGATAGCTTTCCTGTGTATAAAAAGTGTGTTGTTGTTGTGATAGTCACCTTCATCTTACAATAATCATCTTTTCTTTTAAATCTTGAATTATGATGTATTTTGACTTAAAAACTAAATCTGATTTCATGAAATTTATTTGGTAAATAGTAATTATTCTGATCAAAAGAAATTTTCATTAAATAAATAAGGTACTCTCCAGTAATGTCTTCAATAAATACCAGACCCAGTAAATAACTGACACTTGAGTATATAACACACTTGAATAGGAAACAGACATTCAGTCTTCTATTATGTACCTATGGTATGCATGTGTACAATTTACTTTAGTTTGGTTTTCAGTTTTGCTATGTGTAATAGGTCTCTGTATAGAAAATTAAAATGAACACTTCATCACTTTACCTCCCTATCTGTTTAATAGAACAGTGAAAAATATAACTGTCTGTACATGGGTTTTCTTTACAATAGGTATTGACTTTATTATTATTTTTTTCTCAATCTATACTGAAGTAGTTTTTCCAAGGAGTAGATATTGAGACAATGAATTTAAAAATATATAATGAAAAAAAATACCTATTCTGAAAAGAAAATAGAATATACTTTAAGTCTTTATTCTTTGGAGTATAGAACTAATCCTTGGTAAGCACATCTTTCCCCTTTCTAGAAATCCTAGAATACTAAACTACTATTGAGTAAGGAGATTGGGAAACAATGATGTGGAGACTGGAGACTGGGTACCAAATGGTAAAAGAACTTAAATGAGGCTACTTTGTATAACCAATCATAGAATTGTTTTCTCCTAAATGCTACTCAGGGCTACTATATTTTTCTAACATAATTCCTCCAAAAGTATCTTTTTTTTCCCATATGAAAAGGAGGAATAATTCTTTCTTGATATCCAATAGGAAGTTAGTAAAAATTTTCACTCAAGTGATTATTGTGAATGCCTCTAACTTAAAAAGCCTTACCTGTGTCACTGATTTGGGTAAAAAAGTAATAAACCAAAGTTTGACCATATATGAAATTTTGAGTGAGTGGGAGAGCTGCATGCTCTAGAATTAAAAATAGTATGTATTAAAATGCATCTTAGATATTGTCAATTGACAAGATATATTTACGTGTAACATTTCTTTAAATGGTGTGACACTATAGTACATTCACTTTGTCTATGGCCAAATTAAAGAATAATTCTCAGAACCCAAATTATATCCCTCGGTAAAGCAACAAAGTTGGGCAGTTCTCTGGATGATAATGAATCACTGGTTTGTGTCTTGGTTTTCTGCACATCATTATCATACTGTATTTAATGTAAATATTATACAAAGCACAATATCATTTAATTTTAGTGGCTCTGCTGTAGCTGATAATAAATAAATATTTTGAAATGTGTTAAAATGTTTCTTTAAAATAAATAAGAAAGAACCCTATATATAAAGAGAAAGGACATTTCTGGATAAAGTAGTTAAATGTGCAGGCAATAGTGTGAGCTTTTATGGGGGAGCCTCCGCTTATTAAAAATATGTGTGGGTGGTGAACACGTAATGCAATATATACGACATACTGTTAAATCATACACTTGAAATTTATTGGATTTTGTTGATCAATGTCACCCCGATAATTCTTGATAATAATAATAGTAAATAAATAAATAGGAAAAAAGGGAATGTGTCTACTTAGTGAAGTACTGGTACAGGAAAACAGATCACAGTGAAAGAAATAAACTTGCTCAGCACTTTTGGTATACTTTCAACATTTTTTTTTAATTTAAACATTTGAGATGTTTTAGCATCATCTCCAGCTTCTCCATTCTTCTCTAAGCCTCAGCCACACTGAAGTTTGTACT